GGCCATATTTTCCAACTACTGATCCTTCCTCTTTGCTCCCAACCTTTGCATTCCAAACACCAGTAATGATCAATACATCTTGATTACATGTTTGGTCAATTTCAGATTGAAGAAGTTGGTAGAATTCTTCTATTTCATCCTCAGTGGCTTTAGTGGTTGGTGCGTAAATTTGAATAATAGTGGTACTAACTGGGCTTCCCTGTAGGCGCATGGATATTATCCTATCACAGACAGCGTTGTACCTAATGACTGATCTGGATATGTTCTTTTTGACAATGAATGCAACACCATTCCTCTTCAATTTGTCATTCCCAGCATAGTAAACCATGTGGTCATCAGATTCAGTCCATTCCAGCTCACTAATGCCTAAGATAGTGATGTTTATGTGTTCTGTTTCATTTTTGACAACTTCCAATTTTCCCAGATTCATACTTCGTACATTCCATGTTCTGATTTTCAATGGATGTTTACAACCCCTAGGGTACTCGGCAGTCTCCCATCCAAGTTCTAGCTGGGCCGACCCTGCTTGGCTTCCAAGATTAGAAGACAGGGGATGCATTCAGGCAGCTGTGGCTCTGCAGTTAAAGCAATTATAGTATTATGTACATTAAATAACCAAAGTACAGTGTATGAATATTGTCTTCAGCACTTTAATTAGCTCTAAAGGTGACATGAAACTAGTGTAACTTGCAATCTATGCTAACTGCATCAAGGGAATTAACATGGTGTTAGTGAATTTTTCATCTTGCACAAGAAAAATGTATTTAAAAAACAGTGGACATCATATATGATGTGCTCTGTTTTCTGATTTAGACTATTTAGGATAGGAGTGGGGAACTTTTGTTTATGCCAAAATTCATAACATCATTCACAGGTCATACAAAATTATCAACTTAAAAATTAACCTGCTATATCTGGTCAAATGTTTAAGTAACTCACCCCTCAGGTGTGGTGCTGTGGGCTAATGAGTCAGACTGCAAATTCGTTTGAACTGCAAACTCACCAGCTGCTCCTTGGAAACCCTATACAGGGTCACTATAGGTTGGAATCCACTCGAAGGCACTTAACAACAACAACAACAACAACAACAACAATGTGATGACTAAGGAGCTGTGGTAGCATAGTGGTTACGAATTGGGCTGCAAATCACAAGGTCAGCAGTTCGAAACTACCAGGTGTTCCACGGGAGAAAGATGAGGTTTTCTGCTCCCATAAAGATTTACAGCCTCGGAAACCCTATAAGTCAGAACTGACTCCACAGCACATAACCAACCAACCAATGTGATAGCTGGAACTGCAGTTGTCTTGGCAGGATCAGGCCAAATGATTTTGCAGGCCTTATACGGCCTGAGGGCTGATGTTCCACACTTCTGATTTAAGGGTTAAAAGATAGAGAGTAGAAGAATCCTGAAAATGTTTTCCAAAAAACAATATTTGATTAAGGTCTAAAATGTAGTTAGAATTGTACTTAGTAAATGAAATAAAATAGAATAGTTCAATTTAGGGGAAATGGTGAGTGCAGAACCTTAACAAGAAAATCGAAGCGCTGGTAGAACTGTTGCAGAAAATTAACTGTCGATTTTGTTACTGTGGTGACGTGGGAATGGTACTAAAAATTAAGCTAGGGCTATTGACCTTACATCTACATGGGGGCCTCAAAATATTTGTGGAAAAAAATAATTATCTATTAATTATATTTTTCCCATGAACTTTTTGAAGTCCCCTCATATAATTGAAAGACTAAAAATGGTTTTATGAACTTGGTTAGACCTCCTACAATTGTCTAAAAAATTTGCATGTGTTTCTATATTATGTTTCTAGCATTTGTTCTAGTCTCAAAGACATCTGTTTATCCCAAGTTTGCAAACCAGTGATAAAAAACTTGAGATCTTAAAGTTTTAAGGCTATGCTATTTTTATGGATCTTAAAAGACCAGATGTGAAAATTCATGCAATGACTGTACTTAAGCAGAAGGAAAAAAATGTAGTTATATCAATGAAATTTGGAGGAAGATCACCACAAATATTCTGGTGGTGGTGGTGTGCCATGGAGTCAGCTCCAACTCATAGTGACCCTATGTAGGGTTTTCTAGGCTGTAAATCTTTACAGGAGAAGCAAGCCTCATCTTTCTCCCATAGAACCACTGGTAGTTTTGAACTAGCTGACCTTGAGGTTAGCAGCGTGACTCGTAACCACTACACTACCAGAGCTCCTACAATTATTCTAAGAGTAGTGAAAAGTAGAGCAAGTAGGAGAGAATTGAATTATTTAGCTAAGTACATTTTAAATCTTTAGCAAGGCCTATTGCATTTCTTATTTCTTGATCAAACATACCCTTGCAACCAACCTCTTAAAAGCTCCCTTTACATCTTTGTTTCTAAGTGTGTAGATAAGTGGGTTCAGCATGGGTGTGATGATTCCATAGAAAAGGGACACCATCTTTCCCCGGTCCTTGGAAGCAGGAGATGGTGGTTGCAGATACATATAGATAGCAGTGCCATAAAAAAGTGACACCACAAGCAGGTGGGAGCCACATGTCCCAAAGGCCTTTCGTCGACCTTCAGCTGACTGTATTCTCAACACTGCTTGGGCAATGAAAGCATATGATATAAGGATGAGTATCACAGGTATTAGAAGGAATAGCACACTGATGAAGAAGAGTTCAGCTTCATTTGCTGTTGTGTCAGCACATGACAACTTGAGCAGAGCAGGGACTTCGCAGAAGAAATGATCCACTTCTTTGTGGCCACACAATGGCATCTGAAGGGTCCAGGTGGACTGCAACACTGAGTTGCTAAAGCCGCTGATCCAGGATGCAGCTGCCAACTGAAGGCAGAGTTTTTGGTGCATGATAACTGAGTAATGGAGAGGCCGACAAATAGCTACAAACCTGTCAAGGGACATGACGGCCAGGAGAAGACATTCAGTGGAACCCAAAGCCAGGAAAATGAAAAGTTGGGCTACACAGCCACCATAACTAATGACTTTCCTGGTGCTGCATATGTTCACCAGCATTTGTGGAACTGTACTCGTGGTGTAGCAAAGATCCAGGAGAGACAGATTGGTAAGAAAGAAGTACATGGGAGTATGCAGTTTGGAGTCCAGACGTGACACAAGAATTATTCCCAGATTGCCAAAGATAGTCAAGATATAGGAAACCAGGAACACCACAAAGAGTGGAAGCTCCAGCCATGGTCGATCTGAGAACCCTAACAGGATGAACTCCAGAGGGATACTCTCATTTACCTTACTCATGTTCAGTGGTTCAACAACTGATTCCCTGAAATATAGAAAGCCAGCAATTAAATAAAGACAGTTAGTTACAATATTTTTGCTAACAATTTGCATACATTTATATATTAGTACTATTATTAATGGAGTCCTGGAGCGGTGCTGTGGGTTAATGCGCTAGACTGCAAAGTTGATTTGAACCACAAGGTTGGCTGTTCAAGCTCACCAGTCGCTCCTCAGAAACCCTATACAGGGTCACTATGGGTTGGAATCAAATCAATGGCACTTACCAACAACAACAACTATTATTAATGTGAAAAATGTATGGCATAAATATAAATATTTCTTTCCAAGTATTTTAAGTGAATTCCTATATTTGAAACAGTATATTAGTACAAAGTGAATTTCAAAACTTTAAAAGTGTGTCATCAGTTTCAATATTCACAGAATTTTTTTTTTTGATCTTCTGTTGTCATGTAAACATTGTTTTCACTTCTTTCTACTTGTTTTTAAGTGTCATCCTCAAATCAGTTACGACTCATAGTGACCCTTTATAGGGTTTCCTAGGCTGTAAATCTTTACAGGAGCAGAAAGCCTCATCTTTCTTCCAAGGAGTCAATCGTGAATTTGAACAGCTCATTTTGCTATCAGCAGTCCAACACATAACCCACTATGTTACCAGGGCTTGTTTTTAGAATTGTATGTTGTTGTTATTAAGTGCCATCAAATCAGTTCCAACTCATAAAGATCCTGTATAGGGTTTCCGAGGAGTGGCTAGTGGGTTTGAACCACCGACCTTGAGGTCCAGTGCTTATCCTACAGTGCCATACCAGGACTTTAATTACATGGAATTTGCAGTCTGAAAGGCCTGGACTCATATCCCTACCTTCCCAAATTAGTTGCATTGCCCTGGGAATGTTCTTGTCCTCTGATTTTTGGGCTCCTCATTTTAGAAATGAAGATAATATTTTAAAATTTAGACATAGAGCAGTGTGAATGAAAAGAACTACAGTGATCCAAGGTCTCTGAGAAACTCCTAGAAGTATAAGGACTTTCAGAATTTTAAATTTCCTAAAGTTACCAATGGAAAGGAACGGAGGTAGTGGTGGTTCAGTGTGGGATGTTGTTGTTAAGTGTCATCGAGTCTGTTCCAACTCATAGTGAAACTGTATAGGATTTCCCATGAGCAGCTGGTGGGTTTGAACTTCTGACCTTTCAGTTAGCAGTCCAGAACTTATCCTACAGTGCCACACCAGGACTCCCAGTTTTAATTCCTGGCCAATGCACCTCATACTGTCTCCCGTAAAAGCTTGCTTATTGCCATGATGGTGAACAGTTGCAGGGGAGCTTCCAGACTAAGATGGACTAGGAAGGAAAACCTAATGATGCATATCTGAAACCAATCATGGAGATGGCACAGGACTGGGCAGTAGTTTGTTCTGCTGTGCACAGGGTCTCTATGAGTTGGGGGATGACTCAGTGAAAGCTAATAACAACCAATGGAAAATGGCTCTGCAAACTGAAATCTTACCTTTCTATTTCCTCCATCATCCACAACCCATCAACCTCAAAAACAGGGATCATGGTAACTATCTTATGTGGTGTGCACATGTGATCATTAATGTAAATTGTCTGGCACAGTGCCAGGCACAAAGAAACACAGCCTTGTAGTGGAAATATGACAGTGATGCAGGAATGCTGAGATGCTTTGGACAGAGCTATTCAGAGTCCTAAATTTCCTGAACATATGAATGTAAATCAACTCCATCAGCTAGAAATGTAGTCATAAGTTATTTTATCAATATTGGAATGTAAATTTCTCTTTATTACTCTTTTTCATCCAAATGTTAACTATGTGTATTCTAATCTACTTTTCTAGAGTTATTAATTTCCTTAAAAATGTCCCTTTACTCTTAGCTGATAAGAAATTTGACGTATAGACTCATAGATATGAAATGATGTTCAAATGTATCATTAACTAAAAAAAAAAAAAAAAAAGTTGCTGAACATTTGTATAGCATGACTTTATCTGTTAAAGACACAGAATATTATATCATAATGTATTGTTTTATATTTACAGCCTCAGAAACCCTATACACAGGGTTGCTATGAGTTTAACTGACTCAAAGGCACTTAACAACAACACATATAAATAAAAAGCTATATTGAAAGATACAGAACAAAGTGTTACAGATACAGATACAAAAGAAAGTGCTAATTGGGGACGGTAGAACAAAGCACAGTAGAATGTTTTTGTTCTAATTTTTTAATAAACGGGCAATAATTTTATAGTAATTAAAAAGAATGTATTCACCAACTCGGAATCCTGGTGTGGTGCTGCAGGTTAAACACTGGCATAAGGTTGGCAGTTCAGACTCACCAGTCGCTCATTGGAATCCTATACGGGATCGTTATGAACCAACTCAACAACAACAATATTCACCAACTCATTGACTGTATTTAACTCTAAAACTAGGAGTTAGTTTGGTGGTGCAATGCTTAAGTGCTTGACTGCTAACCATAAGGTCAGCAGTTCAAACCCACCAAACTGTACCACAGGAAAAATATGTGGGTGGTCGTTGACTCCCATGAAGATTGTAGCTGTTGTTAAGTGCCATCGAATCAGTTCTGACTCATAGCGACCCTATATAGGGTTTCCCAAGAAGTAGCTGGTGAGCTTGAACTGCCCACGATGTGGTTCAAACAGACTTTGCAGTTCAGCGCATTAAGCTGCAGCACCACACCACTCCATGAAGATTACAGCCTTGGAAAGTCAATGCAGCCGTTCTACTGTGTCCTAGAGGGTCACTATGAATAGAAATCAACTTGATGGCACATACGTATATACCGACATACACTCACAGATTTACCAACTCACTTTCTGTATTTTGTTCTCAGACTAGCATTACTTTACTTTGACTTTGACCCCAAAAAGGGTACAAATCTTTACAAGAAATTTAATATTTTAAACTCTTTTTTTAAAAAAATATTTTAAATTCTTAATACACTTACAAATTTCTTTGAAGGAAGGCTTTTCAAGGAGCTTTTAGAAAAGAAGGGGTTATGGGAGTATGTTCTAATCTAATTGACAAAATAATGTTTTTGAGTAATTTGGATAAATGGCACCTGTAAATAAAGAGAGATTTCACATACCTCACAATTCCCTGTAGTGCTGCACAAATCCCCTCAAATCTATAACTGGCCTAGCCCAGTTGATCCATGACTGCCTACTCCCACTGTTGGGTTGGTCCTGATATAGCCACTAATACAGTCGCTCCTGTTCTCAGAAGTGTTGCTATTTGGACCATAAGTTTGCTGTAACTGAAATACTGAAAAGTTAAATTATTTTCTTATTATTGTTTATTGTTGTTAAGTGCCAAGCTGCCAGTTCTAATTCATAGACAGCCTGTATAGGGTTTCCAAGGAGTGGTTAGTGGGTTTGAACTGCTGAGCTTGCAGTTAGCAGCAGTCTATTGTTTATCCCACAGGACCACACCAGGAGGTATCTTATTATTGATGATTTTACATGTGTTTTCTTGTCTAACCTTGGCCTTTCCTAACCAGCCCTCATTCTAATATCTCCTTTAGAACTTGAAAGCCTTTCCTGTTGAAGTTACAGAAGAATAAAGGAGTTAGTTAACTGCTTTGCAATCAAATGATCCCTTAATTCTGAAATTCAGTACTTATAAAAGTAATAGACTAATTTTACCATCAATGCAATATATTGGTTACCGTATCTTGTCATGTGTAATAACTCCCCAAATTCTCTGAGAGCATAAGGAAGTGAAAAAGAATATTTCCCATGCTGGCAGGAAGCACTAGAGTGGGTTAGAATTTGGGGTCAGAGGAAAGGTGGGGAGGAAATTTGTGAGATTTTAGAGCACTGACTTGTCATTTTCTACTTTACTCACTTTTGCGCACATTTGTTCTTCCGAATACACAGTAACCTAAAAAATGTATCCACTCTGGAAGGTATCTCTTCAAATTAAATGATTGTGATGTCATTCTATATTTTAATAGGTTATGGAGTCTAGGATAAGCACTGGACCGAAAGATGTTGCTTTGAACCAAAAGACTGGCAGATCAAACCCACCAGTCGTGCTTTGGAAACCCTACACAAGGTCGCTATTAGTTGGAACTGTAATTTGAATATTTGATCATATTCCTCTTATTAGCACTGAAGTATTTGTTAATAACCAAACCAAACAAAAACAAAACCCAAACTAGAAAAAGCCTATCTGTATTTCTGAAATTATATCAGATAAACTACTGATATACAACCTGTACCAGATAAACTACCTTTTACAACCTGTACCAATTGTTTGCGACATGTCTAATACTTCAAAGGCCATAGAATAGATCCCTCTACTTTTGCCAGCAGCTCAAGGTAATGTTATTTTTATTTTCAGTAGCAATTGGATGGCAAAACAAAACATCTGAATTATGTGAGATACCAAAGGAATCAGAAGCAGAGTATTGAATCTGGGTTATCTCAGAAGTTAATGGAAACAAAGAACTTCAGAAAACTGCTGATGGGCTTTTTACAAATCATATCTGTGATTATCATGAGTCTTATTTTTTAACCCATAATTCAGCATACATCATCATCTCTCTCTTTTTTTCGTACCTATATACTGGTTGACTTGATGTCTGTCACCTCTCTATTGGATTTTCTCATTTCATATCCATGGTTAAACATTCAAAAGGATGAAATTCAACAAAGTCTTTGAAACTTCTTTTTAAGCTGAACTATGGAAAGAATATCAAAATAAGAATGGTAATAAGAGTTTAGTTTCAAATCTGCAACTAAGTTAATATGAAATTGGGCAAGTTAATCACTTTGGTTGTCAGTTTTATCTTCTGTAACATTGTGGGGTTTCTTTCTTTTTTTATTGTAGCAAATTTATATACAACAAAACATTTGCTATGTCTACATTCTACACACATACAGTTCAGTGGCATTAATTATACTTGTACACTCATCGTTTTGTTCCATCGTTTCTATTAACCCTTCCTGAATTTTT